GGGGTGGGGGGGGGGGGGGTCCCTCCTAACATTACATTACATGAGAAGTTGCACTTTGCAGAGGAAGTTTCCCCTTAGTTTAGTGAATGGGGTGAAGATTTCTTCCATCATCCAATCACGTGAAAGTAAAATACTGTTTTTTTGTTTTTACTGCAATGGAATTCTTTACTTTGCAAGGGAATTTTTCTCTAGCTTAATGGATGAGGTGAATTTCTGCTGACGTCCATCCTCAAATCACAAGCAAGCAAAAATACTGGTTTTTTTTTTTACATTTTCCTTGCATGTTATTGGATTTACTTTGCAAAGCGAGCTTGCACCACATTCACTAAGCTATGAGAAAATTCCCTTGCAAAGTGAACAGCCGATTTGACTTTTCTCTTCTAGGTGTGGACATGTGTGCTTGGTACATGCCCACTTCATGTGCCACGTGTATTTCTACTGCTTCTAATTTAATTCTACTTAATTCTATTTAATTTCTACTGCACCTAATTTAATATGGTGGATTTTAGCAAAATTGCTCCTTCTGCTACTACAGAAAGACATATTCCACTCTTTTCCTTTTCCTGAAAAAAAGAGGGTATTTTGCACATTACATGTGTTTTTTTTTTCATTGTTATATAGAGTACCCAATTAGCTACAATTTTATGACCTTACATACATTTAATTCATAGTTTTTTTGTTTTAGTTTATTTAAACAGATGTCTCATATGGCCAAAGAATGTTCAGTACTATGGAACCCTTTCAATGTTTCTTTAATGGCCTGCTAGGTGACATATGTTCAGGTCCTCTTGTCAGGTCTAAGAAGTAAATTAAGAGTCTTTTGCAAAAAATAAAATAAAATCCTGCTAATATTTTAAAAGGTTTTGTTCTTAATTACATACAGCACAAGTGCAGGTCCACATTCTGCAATACTTGTTGAGACAACCACCAAACCATTCTTCACTACCCACAGGAAGCATTATGTGTAAATATTTCACAAAGCAGCTGCTGCTTACGGAAAAAAAACTTGTTAATCTTTCAAGCAGAGCTAATTATACCATAAATAACCGTCACTAATAATTAGAACAGTTTGTATACCTTTACGATTAATTAAATTTCTCTTATCTGGAGTCACATTACTGATAGATTCATTCTAATTGGTTGCTATGGCTTACTGAACTTTATATTTTTTGCCTTACTAAGCAAAGCTAATAATGTCCTTTTTATTTTCTGAGGATAACAACAAAATTCCACGTCTTCATGCTACAAAATGAGTTAGATTACTTATGTGGGTAAATGCATGGCTTTTCTGTTTACAGTAGCAGCAACCATGGGTTGTAACTAGGGATGCACCGAAATTTCGGCCGCCGATACATATCGGATAAAAATGGCACTTTTGACAAAATGCAGAAAGTGCCATCTTTCAGCCTTAATAGCGGTGCATCACTGGTTTCTCTCCTCCCCCCTGGGCGCTGCTGTGTGTCCGCTCAGACACAGCGCAACGTCCAGTGGGGAGGAGAGAAACTGTCACAGGAGGGCGGGCAATGCGGGGGAAGAGAGCCATGTGAGCGGCCGGCGTCTCTCCTCCCGCACCACTCAGCCTCCTGTGACAGATTAGGAGAGTGGCGGCGTGGGGCGGAGGCACCTGTCAGTGCTATCACAGGAGGCTAAGCTCTCCTTCCGCACTACCCCACTCAGTCTCCTGTGACAGATCAGGAGAGCGGCGGTGTGGGGCGGAATCAGCTGTCACAGGAGGATGGGCCAGCGGTGCAGGGGAGGAGTCAGCTGTCAAAGGAGATCGAGCTCTCCTCCCCACACCACCCGATCAGCCTCCTGGGACAGCGAGTCAGGATGGAGAGCGGGTACGAGCACTCAGCAATCAGTGATCTCTTAGGGGTCTATTCACTAAGCTGCCGTAGGCAGCCGAGTGAAAGACCGAACTGAACTGAAGTGAGCCGAACGCTGTTCGGCTATTCACTTCAGGCTGGTACGGCTGATTTCAGCCGTACATCGGCTGATTTCAGCCGTACATCGGCTGAAATCAGCCGTACATCTCGCTGAGCGGCATTCGGCTTGGCTGTTCTGCTCGGTCCCTCAGAACAGAAAAATTGTTTAGAAAGTCCCAAAAAATAAATAGAAACAATTGTGCGGAGCTAGCAATGACAGCTAGCTCCGCCCAATAGTTTTCTATTGGCCGGCGGTTCTGCTGCCGTCAAGCTCTGCTCAAAACAGGTGGAAAACAGGTGCAAAACACATGCAGTTGGAAAAGTAGTGCAAGCTCTGGTCAAAATAAGGGCACAAAGGCAGATTTGCACATTAAAAAAATGATCTAAGAGGCTAAAACTGTCACAATTGCTTTGATCAATTGCCCCAGTATGTTTACTGTGTCCCCAATTATGAAAGAATGGGGAGTGATCTACATTACCTCCTGTTCATTCATGGTTGCGGACATGGTAAACGTACTATCTCCACAAGTTATGAATGAAAAGAAACACTCAGTATAGAGGCTCCCTGTTCATTTTTAACAGGGGCTGCAGAAAAGTAGATAGAGAACTTAATCTCTTTTTCTATTTTAAAATGGAAATATCCGGTATCTGTTTAGACCCTAATATTTCCCCGAAGCCCCCAACAGTAAAGTAACAAAATTAAAAGTATTTAATTAAATAAATACAAATAAAATATTTATAAAAAATGTAAAAGATTAGAATTTTTTTGACATTTCTTTTATTGTTGGTTTTGTTTCAGTTTTTTGAAAATTTACTTTCGGTGAACCTTTAGTTTTAACCAGGTTTAAGAAAAAAAAATCATCAAATTCCTCATTTGAGATGTTAATGACATTAATTTCATGAACAAAGGAAAGAGAAAGTTTGATAGATAAATCCAGTAGAGGAGTCCAAATGAGAGAACATGCAGAGGCGTCCATAATTCCCATTTCCAACATCTATTAGTGGGAGTGATTAACTCCATATTGAATTTAGTTTAGCCAAATGTCAGACAGAACCTTTTATTAGCACACAAAACTATGCATTTTTGTTACTCCCTATTGTGCCTACAAGCACATGTAGGGCATGCAACTGCAACAAACAATTACAAAAACATATATGATAAAAAATAAAATGACATTGGTGATAAAGTAAAATGACAAAAATTCAATCAAGGTTCATAACTATTTAAATTAAAACAACATTTAAAAGGTCAACTAAAGCTAAAGACTGTTTTGTTTATTTTTGTTTAGTTTTGTATAAATCGAGGATGGGTAAAACTTCTGACAGGTGACTATTGCTAACTGTGTCACTGATGGGGCACTGGTCCCTTGTATAACATACAGTCAATTAATAGCTATATACAGTATATATATGTAATACAGTATAGTATGTTAAAAGCCAAATGTTTGGTTTCTTTTTGGATAGAGTAGGGAATAGTTAAAACTCCTGTTAGGATTTTTTTTGCCATCTGTGTCTCATTGGGGAGATTTCCTTTCATTCCCTTTACTGTGAGAGCATTTAGTGTATATGCTGGTGAGGTAGCATAATTCATTTTTTTGCTCTACCAAAAATGTGATTATTCATTTTTCAAGTGAGTGAGGGACACCCATTGGTGTATTACTGTATGCTGCTCCGTAAGGGGTGCACTCGGGTGTATCTACCGCAAGGCAAACTAGGCATTTGCCTAGGGCGGCACTTTCCAGGGGGGCAGCAGAAAACGCCACCCCAAACCAATGAGGCAGACAAGGTCATACTTGCTTTTGGGCATACTGGTCACTTGTCCAATGGGCCGAGGCTGGGCAGCACAGAATCAGGCAGCGGTGGCTGCCAAATGAGGGAAACTAGGCGGCCGCAAGGCCCTAAGAGCGGCTGCCTAATTAGAGAGCTCAGGGCCCAGTGAGATGCAGTCCAGCTGGCTTTGTAAAGGTGGTGGAGGAGTGGGTGGCTCAGGGCTGGCCATAGCAGGTGATCTGACGGCGGGATGTTCCAGAAGCAGGCTGGGGACTGCAATGTATCCTGTTGGTACTGATGGCCCTTTGAGCTGCAGGTAAGAGGAGCAGCACATGTATGCAGGGAAAGGGACTATGCACAGCTCTCCTGAGACCCTGCACAGGCCACCAGAGACCCCACACAGTCCACCATAAACTCTGCACAGCTCTCCTGGGACCCTGTACAGCCCACCTGAGACCATGCACAGCCCACCTGAGTGTGTGCTGTATCCAGTGACTGACAGGTTGCGCAAAATGTCCTAATCAGGTTGGGGTGGGGCAAATTTAGATTGAGGAGGGTGCTCGAGCTTAGTTTTGCCCAGGGCAGCACAAAACCAAAATACACCACTGGGTTCACTACACACACAGCTACTTGCGAGCAGGGCCAGGAATGCACACGCGCGGGTGCCTCCACAGCAGCTACTTAGCTGGGGGGGGGGGGGCGATGTGGGGATCAACTAGAGAACGAAAACAAGAACGGATCTGCATATCATGTGTTCCTCCTTTGCATAAAATTAAACAAAGCAAAGGTTTAATGTCACTATGAAAACAGTCATTAAACTACTAAACACTCACCCCCTGTTCATCCAATTTTAACAGAGTTTCCGGCACTTTAGGTGAGCTGGATGCTAAACGCAGACATTGCAAGTTGACTTCTGGTACAATGTATTCCAACAGTTTTTTGGGGGATATAGCTCTGGAAGAGCTAGAACGAATGGATGAAGGAAAGGCTTCCTCTAGAATTGAACCCCGTAGAGTCTTCAACTTCAAATAGAAAAAGGTAAAGATAAAAACTTTTAAAAAATGGGGGAAAAAATCTAAAAAGCTGAAAATCAATTTAACCAATTATACTTTAATCAGAGTAGGAAAAATCATAAACTAGACAGTCTAATATTTTTTATAAATAATACAGTAAAATGCGCAATATGAGAAGATTAAATGCTAACAGAATCTAGGATATCTTTTAATTACATATAATGCATAATTTTAAAAAATGCACGCTTTGCCATCTGTTTTATTGCTATCTAAGATTATGCTTCATTTACGTTGCAGGTGTTTTTACTTCTTTTGTGGGTATAAATTATGAATATTACTGTATTTACAATAGAGGCATCAGTGAGCTAGAGCCTTAGAGGTCAGACTGTAATGCATTTTTTTAAACTAAGGGAAAAAGGAGTTGTAGGGAGCTGCAGTGCTTGCAAGTAGAGACAACATTGTGGGGTTGTGTGCTGTCATTTCATTAGAAAAGTGGATTATAATGGGGAACATTACGCTGTAATGTTCCCCATTATAATCTATTTCTCTGATTAAATGATTACAAACAGGGCCTCGGTTCTATCAAAGTTTGACTATGTTAGAATGTGTGACCGGTGACGTGGTCCCACATTTTAACGTAATCCCGCCCTTTTTTTTGGCAGTGGAATGTGTGACAACCAATAGGTGAAGAATTCCAGCGCTTTCTCAGCTGTTCCAGGGCAGGAGAACATGCGATTTGCGATGACTGGAACAGCTGATCATTCCTGAAATGTCTCTTCTATACGACTTTGTGAGTGGGGTGGAATGTGAGATCGCAGTCGCAGAGTCGGAGAGAAGTGACATTTCAGGACAGATCAGCTGTTCCAGGGCAGATCGGTTCTCCTGCACATGTGATCTACGATGCCGCTCTGCCCTGGAACAGCTGAGAAAGCGTTGGAATGCTTCACCTATTGGCTGACACACATTCCACCGCCACAAACTGGGCAGGATTACGTTAAAACGTGTGACCACGTCACCAAACACACATTCTAACGTAGTCACAAACTTTGATAGAACACCGCCATCAAGGGAGTATGGCCTGTACCCATGTGGGGTCACATGGGACCCCATGTGAGAGGTCACATGGGACCCCATGTGAGGGGTCACATGGGACCCCATGTGAGGGGTCACATGGGACCCCATGTGAGGGGTCTGGGCAGCCTGGGGGGCCTCTTACATGGATATCAGCTGTATCAGGGCTGGTACGGCAGAGGTGACAGAGGAGGGGGTGGAGGAGGCCGGGCCCCAGCAGGTAAGAGTTGGGAGGAGGTACAGGGAAAGAGACCCCGATGACAAGCCCACCTGGGACCCTGCAGAGCCCACGATAGAGAGTCTCAGGTGGGCTATGCAGGATCTATGGTGTGCTCTGCAGGGTCTCAGGTAAGTCCATCTTTGTTTCCAGTAGTCCGATGGTGCCGGTCTCTGATCCAGCGCAGGCTGCTGTCTCTTCCTGTCCCACAAAGTCTGTCTGGCGTGCACGCTCATGGCTGTGTGCATTTTTTTCCATCAAATACAGCTACCTGTTTTTAACACCTAAAAACTTGCCCCCTAGTACCTAACATTTAGCACCTAGCCACAAGTAAGGGGTTCATTCACATTAGATGTATTGTCATGCATTTTTAGTTTAATTTTTAGTACAGGCAAAATGGATGGACATTTGAAACTACACTGTTTTTATAAAACCAGTTCCAACCAATGCACCGTATTATTGTGCATTGGGCAAATCCTCCATGGTGCCTATTTGGTATTATTCCTGTTTTACGGCATTGAAATAAACTGAAATTGGATCCTTCAAAAATACAACACACATTAATACATGCATTTATATGTGAATGAGCCCCAGCATTTAGCCTTAAAGCCGTTATATATATTCCCTAACAGCTGACCATACCTTTTGTAAAGGGGTACATAGTTACATAGTATTTGAGGTTGAATAAAGACATTAGTCCATCAAGTCCAACCTATTAGGATCTCATTCTAGGAGTACCCGTACCCATGTATATTACGGTCCCTTAAGAAATCGTCCAAAAGTTTCTTGAACAATTCCACATTATTTGCTGAAATCACCACCTGTGGCAGTGAGTTAGCATCGATAAAGAGTGCCTTCATCACTGAAATTTATCTTTCCTGCTTCTCCATAATGACATTTAGTAGTAGTGCAAGTCACTACATTTCTCGGCAGTTCTGTGCAGAGCAGGGCACTGTCACTCACACAGGCATGGCTTTGCTTTTGATAGGCAGATTGAAGGTGGATGCCAACGCAGATAGCCCACCCACCCCATACATACTCACATCCAATTGACTATAGCTAGAATGCAGGGTGCCAATGCAGGGTGACAATGCTGCACTGATTTTACTGTATTAGCATCATCATTGTCACCCTGAAAAAGGTAGTCAAGATTCAACAGCTGAACTGACAGGATTGACAAGTATTTGAACTGTCTTGCAAAGAACACTATGAAGAATTAGATATAATTTAGCGATGCATGGCATTGACTACAGCAAACACAGAATTTTGACTTTTGACCAGGTAACAGAATTCTTAATTTACCTCAGTTGTTCGAAATATAATTCTATAGTTATACTGCATGCCTTGCACGCCATCTCTTTCATCTCGTCTCAAACTTATGGCCACAGGCCCGAGTCTCTCATCAACTCCAAAAAAATTCTGATGTTCTGGTAGAAACAGAGCAGCAAAAGGTAAGTAAGTGCAGAGAAAGACGGCAGAAGAATAAACAGTGGTCTCCTGGAAAGAATAGTAAAAAAAGATAAAATATTACTAACCTTTGCCATAAAAATACTTTCGATAGTATAGTGCACCCAGATCTTGATATTCAACAAAGTAGCTGCTATCTCTCAACCTTTCTCTAGCTTCTTCTAACACAGATACAGCTGCATTGGGCCCCCTGACTGGGCAATTTATAAGTGGAGAGTTGAAAGAAAAAAGAGAAAAAAAGTCCCATCCTTGATCTTTTTGGCCTTCTTTCTCTTCTCCTCCAACTTCATTGCGGAAATATGGGCAGCTAAGTAAAAGTTCATTGTCCTTTCCATCTCCAGTATCACCTGGATCTTCAGGGGATGACAAAGATCTTCTGGGTGATAAAGTACAAGTTCTAAGCTGAGAGGCTGCAGATGCACCACTTCTCACATTCTTTTTCCCTTCCAATTCTCTTCTTTGAAAGGGATCGAACAATATACTCTGAATGTCATGATGAGCCAAACATTTAGGACGTGCAGCTACTGGATCTCCTTCAGGTGGTTTTTCTTTTACCTCTAGGGCCACTGGCCCCTGACTGCTACCTGCCAGCCCAAGCAGTATGAAAGGATCTTTAAAACGTGGGGCAGATGGACTTGCAGTCCCTTTATCTCGAGGGTTATACTCTGATTCTGAAAGGGAACGTGCCCCACCGTTATGCCTGCTATTTCCTGAGGAAATTAGAGACTTGGCTTCACGAGGACTCTTATGAGGGGATGATTGTGCTGGCAGCTGGCGCAGTTTACGCACAAAGAGATCATCGGACTGCATCTCATAGGAAACAACTCATTGATGATGTGTGAAAGGCATACAGTTGTTTCAACCTGTTGATATATCTAATTTAGGCCTTTTTTTCTTCTGTTTTTTTTTTTTCTTGGGCCAGATTCAGCTTCTTCTTAAGCGATGTTTTTTTAAAATGTAGTAGCCTGATAATGCTGTAAGTCAGGGTTTACATTTTATTGATTTTAGCTTTTTCTAAATGTAACAGTATCATACTTCCCTTCTCAGAAATTATTAATATATATATATATGTGTGTTCTTTGTTTCTGTTTCTTTTTTGACTTGATATTGATATTTTCTTAAACTTCTTTAGTTGCCTTGGAATTTCTTAGTGTTGTTATGGGCCTTGCTTATGCTTATTTGATTACTTAAGGTGTTGCTATTCACATCCTTTCTCTTTACAGATTTGCTAAATGTATCGGTCCTTATGTGCTTTATGATTTACTACATATTCCATGGTATATACTGCAGAAACTTATCATTTTCTCCTTTAACTAAATCCAAGTAAGATGTCCACACAGCTGCTTTAGGCCTGTACAAAACACAAGAAAAAAATATCACAGATTTACAAAACAATACTATGCTACAGCCTTAGACGATTGATTGTGTTTTACGTGTTGGGTTAATCCATATAATTGTTATTTCTATTATCCTGTTGACTCAAGAAATACATTTAAAAGTTAAACCCTGACCAGCCTATAGACCTTTACATATTTTTAACAGGCAGTAAATAAGCTTTAAAACAAGCCCTCGCTGCTCAGTGCTCTGAAACTGCAAGCACTGTGAAACAATTCATCCTCAAAGTCATTTAAATCCTTCTCTCAGAATGTAGACGGTTGGATAGCTGTCGAGTCACTGCTGGAAGGAAAGGGAGCAGAGTGAGTTGACCTGCTGGAAGAATGACCTAAATTACTTCGTTTTCAATACCGAATCATGAGCTAGCATAAATTCTATTTCTTTTAAAAAAATTCACACATGATTGGGCATGAAAAGTGAATACAAGTTTACTCTTTTTACCAACATTAACTTTTCAAAGTGAGCATATAATTTGTTAAGTGAACATTCACTTTGCTAAGTGCACCTGTGCCCAAACCATAGACATTGAAGTATTGATATATTCTTAACAAGCACTAAAAGAGCTTTAAAACGAGCCATCACTGACCTCTCTACCTGCTTGTACTTTTAAAGTAATACATTTTTTACATTTCCTCAAAGATCACAGCAAAGACTCAGGGGTCTATTCACGAAGCTGCCGAAGGATCTGGCCGTAGCTTCGGCCGATCCTTTACACACAGTTTCTAGACACCTCCTGTGTGTTTGCACTAGAGGGCGGGTGGACTACCAAGATTCTGTTGCAACAGAAAGTAATAGGAAACAAGCTGAAGATGAATTTCTTCACAATGCCTATAACTACAGGTGTGATGGGGAGCTTCTTTTAAAATGTATTTACTGTTTGCTCAAAATATGTAAATATTTTAGTGCATATAGTCTACACACATGTTCACTATAAATCAACCCCATTGAGTTTTTGTAACCAATAGGCTTTTTCAGACATTAAATTAAAATTAAATTGTGCCATGACTATGGACATTAAAGATTTTGCATATTCTTAACAAGCAGAAAAATAGCTTTAAAACAACCCCACTGACCTTTCTTTATTAATGTACTGTGAAGTAATTCAAGAAGGCTACCACTGCACTGCAAGGTTTAAATGCTTGTTTTGTCTAGGGGGCTCAAATGAAGCAGATATACTCACCTGATCTTCACTCCCGCTGGACTGCTAGACTTGTCCTTGCAGCCTCTTCTTTCCTGTGCTCCAATGGGCTAAGGACCACTGATGTCATCATGTCTAATGTAGGTCCAATGACGCCAAGGGACATTCCCCAGCTGGACAGGTGGGGGAGAGAGGTGAGCTGTTTTAGGTCAAAATCGTTGCTGTTTTAGGTCAAAAGCGGTTTTAGACCAGGTAGAAAACAGCGATAGTAAATTAGAACTATTTGCAGAATTGAGTGATAGCGATTCGTTGGGAAATTCCTCAACAGACGCTGAAAGTGAGGACAGCGAGGATTCTGTGACCGAGCTCAGTGATGTTACGAAATTCAAAAGTGAAAAGCACCACATACACACTAATACATTGTATTACAGAGAATACAGTGCTATTTTGTTACTATTTTGATACTGTAACGAATTATTTCAGCTCAGCTTTGTCCCTAGAGATAGTACCAGTGTTCTGCCTGCACTTTTACTATTATATTACTATTATATTTGCCTGGAAAACTTGAGAGCGTCCATGGCATCAAACAAGCATCCGCTGAGGTCAAAAGCGGTTTTTGAGCAGCTAGAAAATAGCGATAGTGATGTGGAATCAATTATTGAATTGAGCGACAGCGATGCGTGGGGAAGTTCGTCGTCAGACACTGAAAGTGACGAAAACGTGGATTCTGCGACTGAGCTGAGTAATGTGCGAACTTGGTGCCCTATTGATTGTGGTACGGATCACGCAGCGCCCACAAGATTCTCATTTACTGGAGCATCTGGTAGGAAGGTAGATGTGGAACATGACAACCCCTTGGCCTACCTAAAATTATTTATGACCGATGAGGTTATTGATGAAATTGTTACAGAGACAAACCGGTACAATGAACAGCAATCCACAACCCTGCATGGGAAGTTTTCCAGAAATAGAAAGTGGGAACCAGTGACCAGAGATGACATCTGGAAGTTTCTGGGCCTAATAATTCTTCAGGGAGTGGTGGGGAAACCTCTGCAGAAGTGGTATTGGACAACCAATAAATTACTTGCCACTCCATTCTTTGGCACGGTCATGTCGGAGTACAGGTTTTCCCTCATAATGAAGATTTTGAGGAATTTCCAGCAAACCTATGTGCCAGAAAGAGACATCACCATAGACGAAAGTCTAATGGCCAACAAGGGAAGGCTCAGCTGGATTCAATATATAGCATCCAAGAGAGCACGATTTGGCGTCAAAACGTATATGCTATGCGAATCGTCATCTGGCTACATATGGAACTCCGTGATATACACTGGGAAAGGAACCAAATTTGATCTAAAATATAGCAGCTAAGGAATGGCAACATCTTCCGTTCTCTCACTAATGGAGCCATTGCTGAATCAGGGCTATTGTGTTACAACGGACAACTTTTATACTTCTCCAGAACTGTATGAATACCTTTTGCAACACAAAACAGATGCGTATGGAACCGTCAGGGCTAACCGACGTGACCTCCCACCAATGTTTGGCAAGAAGAAGCTAAAGTCTGGAGAAATAGTTGCCTGGCAGAAAGGCAAAATGATGGCACTGTGATGGCGCGACAAAAAAGACGTGTGCCTCATGAGTACTGTGCATAATGCCTCCACTGCTATGGTACGCACCAAAGGTGGGAGAGAAATAATGAAGCCGCATGTGGTAATAGACTATAATAACACCATGGGAGGTGTCGACAGAGCTGACCAAGCCATGACCTTCTACCCGGCTATGCGTAAGCAGCAGAAGAAATATTATAAGAAAATCTTCAGGCATCTTCTTGAGCAGTGCTTATGGAATGCCTACGTTCTGCTAAAAAAACAAAGTGACAAGCCTATGACGCATTCAGACTTCATCTGGAAAATTTCCGAAGAAATCTTTTCGAACCACCAAACGCCATCAGCGAGTAGACCTGGACGTCGTGCTGTTGGCGTAGTCAACCCAGAACGCCTGACTGGTCGTCACTTTATGGACTACGTCCCTCCAACAGAAAGAAAGTCAGCACCCACAAGGCTGTGCGTAGTTTGCTGCTCGAGGCGCGATGACAGCGGCAAAAAAATCCGAAAAGAGACCAGGTTCCATTGCCCCGATTGTGACGTCGGACTTTGTGCTGTCCCCTGTTTCAAAGTTTACCATACCCGAGATGTTTACTGAAGTAATATTGCACCCTTGCTTGAACAGATGTCAGTGTTTTTTGTTTGAATACATTATTTAATTAAATGTATTATTATTATATTATTGTTTTGTGTAATTATTTCTAATTATTTGTTATATTATAATTTATTATTTCGTTTTTCAAACTTTAACATACCCGGGATGTCTACTGGACTCTTGTTTGTACAGATTTAGGTGAGTTATTCCTAAGATTTACTAAGAACTACAGGCCTACAATGTAAAACAACATATTTGCTTGAAAAACAATGTACCGCTTTTGGTTGCTAAAATACTGAATAATCATACCGCCAGGGAGGTTAAACAAACAAACAAAACAAAACAATTTTATTTTAATTTTTTTTACCAAAAACGGCCCGGAATGCATCAAAAACGCGGCAATAACGTGGCACAACCCACTGCACTGTGTGTGCAGAAACTCATGCAGATCTGGTCTGCATTTGGTGTAAACAAGCCCTGAAAGGAAAGGTGACTATAGCATAAATGTCAGTAAAAAAGTCACATGTATAGGCACATTCTAGCCATCTTAAGATATAACTGTTTCCCCCACAGTCTCTTAACCAGCAATGTTTACAGGTACTCATAGGCTAGGTTCATACATTGTATTGCTGTATTGCTATAGTCAATTAATAATATTATATTTCAATGGTGACAAGTATAACTTTAAAAAAAATGTATAGCAGCTGATATTGCCTACCTAGGCACACCAGAAGTTCCGTCTATGAGACTCTAGGTAAAAAGACTCAGCTAGCTCTTTACAATCGCAACATTTAAATATACATTGGTGAAATCTCACACATTTTTGTTGCATGTCTTTTTTAACTCCCATGCATAGGACATTTAGATGCATTTCAATTGAGTAATGTTGCACATTTTAAATACGAAACTGAAATGATATAATCTCGGGGCACAGACAGCCGCAACACACAAAAAACAAGCCAGCTACACAAAGCAAGAAAAGACATGAAATGTTACCTTGAAGTAAAAAGTCATAGACGCGTCTAAGAGATAGAAAGACGCTAAGGCTGTATGAGAGCATGCAACACAGGAAAACACCAAAAGCTTGTGGTTCATGAGTGGCAGAGGTAGAAGGGAACTGAAATTCTACAGAAGGACAAAGGAGGAACAAACATTTTAACATACATATGCAATTAAATACATTTTCTGTCACAGAAGGCAAATATACTAATTGTTTTAAACATCTAAATTTTATGAATCCCCCCACACAGTTTTGAAGTGTTTATATCAACTTTTATACACACATACAGTATACTGTATATACCATATAAATTACTTCATGCATGCCTGTGTGTTTTAGGTGTGTTGCAGTGCATTGAAAAGAGTCCTGTGCTTTGGTGCATTTTCCAGCAAAATGTGTGTTACATAAAAGGTGAAAGACGATGCATGTTACACACAACTAAAATAGGGTTGCCACCTGTCCAGGATTCACCCGGACTGTGCGGGTTTTGAATGCTGTGTCTGGGTTTCATGCCAGCAGAAACCCGGACACAAGATGTTAGGCAGACCGGGGAACCAAAATTTAAGATAGGGGCTACAGGCCCCATACTGAAAATAGTCTCAACTGTAGGAGTTACATATGAACAGGTGACGCTATTTACATATGAATAAGCCACGACTCATTCTCCCAAAAAAATATCTGCGCGACGCTAGTATGTTCGAGTTTTGCTTGAAGAAAAGGTGCAACCCTAGACTAAAATGTGAAACACACACCTATAAAGCACAGAACCTGCAATGTATCAATATTCATAGCTATTAAAAAAGATCTATATCAGGGCTAGGCAACCTCAGCACTCCAGCTGTTCTCGAACAACAATTCCTATGAACCATTGCAAGACTCTGACAGCTCCAGGCATGACCCCTAGAGGCATGATGGGATTTGTAGTTTCAGCACAACTAGCGTGATGAGATTGCCTACCCCTGGCCTAGATCTTTGGCAGGTTTTGCTGCACATAAAACACTACCATACACTTAGGAAAAACAGATATGTATCACTAAATTATTTCCACATATTGACATGAATTTCAGCACAAAAATTGGAACTTTGGGAAGAAATTGCAAATTGGGATCCTCAGGTTTTCCAGGATCCAACGAATGCTAAGCAACATCACCTTTACTTAGCATTATGCACCAGAAGCGGGGGGGGTGTATTTTTTACCATTTCTTGTCATGTCATTGGGTTTTTTTTTCTTAACTCTAACTTTTTTTAATCGGAGCTGGGGTGGGGGTGGGGGTTAGGAAATAAGCATCATAGCTACAAGTTACATTATATCTAAATTGAATTAACTGTGCTTTTTAAGATGTATAGTGGACTAGGGATGAGGTTCGGGTTCACCACTATCATGGGTTCGAGGCAAATCCTACATGTTTGAGATTTCAATCCTGGAGAATTTGTGTGAATTTTTTAAAACCATAATGCACTGCATGGCCTTTGATTTATGCCTAGCAGGCTTAGAAAGGTCAATACATGGGCTTAATGTGCCAGCCAACCGACTATAAAATGGGGAACACAAAGCAGCCATAGCGGCATTGAATTAGAAGCTGTTAGAGAAAGCTGACAAACTGCATAGGGACTAGGATCAGGTAGGAAACTGTACTTGCTGTTTGAGCAATCAGCTCATTTGCTGCCTTTTTTCCTATTATTGTTTTTTTTTTTTATGTCTTTCATTTTATTTTGTGGGTGATTTGAGGTCAGCGGTCACTTTTAGATGCTGTCCCCACTTTTTTTTCTAATTGCAAGGCTTCCCTCTAAAAAAAAAATGTTTTTTTTATGGATGACACTTTGGTGTTTTTACTTCTTTTGGTTTCTTGTTTTATTTTATGTTGACAGGGCCTTTTTTAAGTTTAGGGCACTTAAAGCTGAGAATTCATTTGTTGGCGTTCCTCTGTTCTTTAAACTGTTTTTTGTTTGATGCATGCCACTGCATTATTTAAAAGGAATAAAAACTATATGCAAGAACAGTTTGAACCTAAACCAACTTATATTGTATTACTCACATTCAATGCACCCCCCTATTCCCATACATAAAATAAAAGTTAGGCTTACACCAGTAAGGCTTATCATCCCTGATTAAAACTGTCCTGCTGCTGGCCAGTTTTACACTGCTGTGTCATCTAAGGTCTCTTAATTCTTAAAGGAGAACTATGGGGTAAGTGTTTTTCCCCATAGTTATCCTAAGGGTCACGGGAGGACATAAACTAGCATCCTCCCGTGACCAAAAGCTCAGTATATCGCGAGCTACAGCTTGCAGTATACTGAGACCGCCGCAGCCAGGACGGATCCCGACATTATTGTCGAGATCCACCCAGATGCGAGAGTGACAGCTGGCTCTGCCTATCTAGAGACAGAGCCAGCTGTACCCGCCTCCTCCCCTGTCCGTTCCGCCAGTCAGCGCTGGAGGATCGGAGAGGGGAGGGGGGAATCCATTTTGTTGGCCAGGCTTCTAGCATTGGTGAACATGCACTTCAGGTTTTTGCTTTTGCTTACGTTGTTTTGTCGTCCATAATCTGGCAATGCCTCCATGTCTTGTGTTTTTGTTTTTAGTGTCATAGATTCCCTGTTTTCTGTTGGGGGCACCTTAATTTCCCTAATTGACCCTCCACTTCACCACTCCTCTCGATAAATCTTAGGATATTGCCTGGCTCAGTCCTTTTTGATCCCTCCCCCCATAATCTAGTTTAAAGGCACCTCTGTACCATGACAGCTGGGTCTTCCTCAGCCCCCCCCCCCCCCCCCCCCAATAATCTGTCCATCCGATCCGCAATATGCTGAACCTGAGCGCCTGGCAAACAACATAGTGTTTGGCAATCACGTTCTTTGTGACAGATTGTCTGTTCGCCTGATAATAGAATCCCCTACCACCAGGATCTGTCTATCCTTGCTTGACCCCCTGCTCCCCTCTATACTAGAGCAGTCACTCTCCTGGCAGCTAGGGGAGGTATTCTGCTCCAGCAATGCTACCCCTGAGCTGATATCCTGAACATCATGCAGACAGGCATATTTATTGGGGTTTAACAGCTAAGGACTAGCCTCTCTAACACTTATCCATACCCCGCCTTCTGACTGTTACCCAGCTACCCACCTCTGGGTCCTGCTCCTCCATGTACCACCCTCCTCCAAGCTGGCCCCTGCCAGTGCCTGTTCTGTGAGGTCTAAACTCTCCTCCATGTTGTTAATGCTCCTGAGTGTTGCCAGGGGAAGTGTTTAAAGATGTAAAAGATGGCTTGACTTCTGACTTTGGATAAAGTCTCTGATCAAAGAGAACTGTTCCCAAATACACCCTCTCAAAGTTCCCTGCGTTCTCCAACATAAAAAAAATCATGTATAAAAATAAAGAGTTAGTAATAAGATATTTATCAGGGCACAGAGGCGTCTCTTTAATTAGGCGAGTTAGGCCTTGCGCTCATGCAGGCCTCGCAGCCACCTGACTCGCCTAGTCTAAATCAGGGGTAGGCAGGGCTGGTGCTGTGGGGGGACAGAAAAAAAATCACCTTCGTCTGCATCCTGCACTCCCCCTTCCGCTGAGACTGCACTCCAAATTCCCCTGCTGGGACTCCACTCCATCCGCAGCCCAGCCTGGCTTTCTTACTAATGTGGCAGTGCAGCCCCAGCAGCAAAAGCAGGAGGAGAGAGAGCCGGGACAAACAAACAGCAGCAGCCATGTGGCATGAGGTAGGGAACCAGGGCAGCAGTGGCAGATTCATTGAAGAGAATGGGTGCATAAAATTAAATCAATTAAATTGCTAAACCAAAACAGTAGTGCATCAGATATATGAAAAACATATAAAAAAAACATATAAAAAATCTCATGTAAAATGTTTAATATGTTTTTTTATATGTTTTTCATATATCTGATGCACTACTGTTTTGGTTTTATTGATTTAATTTTATGCACATTGGCACGAGTTGACATTTATGTTCACTATTTTTGATGTTTATAATTTTGCCAACACTGATTTAACTCACTTGGATTACACATATTTCAGCTAGGACATGACACGAATCAGAGTCTCTGCAGGTGTGGCCGTCCCAGGGCCCAAGTCTGGGGTGGCCCTCTGACAGGGGAGGAGGTGGAGGAAGCCGGCGCTGGGGCCCAGCGACGACGGTCCGGCGGAGGTTGTGGAAGAAGCCCACTGTGGCAGGTAAGGAGCTGCAGGGAAAGGGCCCCCAAATGGGCCTCAGGTAGGTGCTATGTGCAGAGTCCAGTGCATTGTTATGTGCAGAGTCCAGTGCATTGCTATGTCCAGAGCATTGCTATGTACAGAGTCCAGTGAGTTGCTATGTGCAGAGTCCAGTGTGTTGCTATGTTCAGTGCATTGCTATGTCCAGTGCGTTGCTATGTGCAGAGTCCAGTGCATTGCTATGTCCACAGCATTACTATGTGCAGAGCCCAGTGCGTTGCTATGTGCAGAGTCCAGTGCGTTACTATGTCCAGAGCGTTGTTATGTGCAGAGTCCAGTGCATTGCTATGTCCAGAGTGTTGCTATTTGTAGAGTCTAGTGCATTGCTATGTGCAGAGTCCAGTGCGTTGCTATGTGCAGTGCATGGCTAGTTGCAGTGCGTAGCTAAGTGCAGAGTCCAGTGCGTAGCTAAGTGCAGAGTCCAATTCATATAGTTTTCTGCATTGCTGCATAATGTATTGCTGGGGTTTGTAGTCCCCCCTACAGCCGGTGCCATTCTGCATTAGAGTGTAAGCTCCTCTGTACAGAAACTAATGTGACTGTCTCAGTGTTCTTCGTACAGCACTGTGGTATACACTGAGTGGCCAGATTATTATAACTACCCCATCAGTACTTCGTTGGGCCACGAGATAACTCCACGATATGACTTCGTTAGGCCGCCTCGTGACTCCACGAGATGTTGAAAGATGATGCGAGGAATCTGACACTGCACTGTTGCCCTTCTGTTGTCTTGTACCAGTCTTGCCACTCTCCGTTCTGCCCTAACATTGACTAGTCGCTGACGGCCACAATTCGCACGTTCAGACCCAGATTTTCGGCTGACAGTCCAGTCTTTAAACACTTTAACAACAGACGCTCTTGAACATTTAACGAATTCTGCTGTTTTGCTGATACTCGCTCCATGG